CGTATCATCCCCCGCCACTTGCAGCTGGCCGTCCGCAACGACGAGGAGCTCAACAAACTCCTGGGCGGAGTGACCATCGCTCAGGGCGGCGTGCTGCCCAACATCCAGGCTGTTCTGTTGCCCAAGAAGACCGAGAAGGCCGCCAAGTCCAAGTAAAGCGAAGCTGCTGGAAACCACCAACACAAAGGCTCTTTTAAGAGCCACACACTCACCTCTGGTAAAGAGCAAGTCTCCTCATGTCCTCCACCAATTTGGAAAACTAAGTAGATCAGTAAAATAAAGTCTCTACTGATCCTCTGCCTCTATGTGAGTTCAGTCAACTAAAGTGTCCTATTAAGGTGTGAACCCAGTCAAACCTTTGGAATGTGGTAGAACATGAACAGCAGCAAAGTGTGCAGCTGATAAATCTGCAGAAAGTTTTTGTTCAAGTCAACATAGATCAGAATATCAGAGGAAGGTTTCCAGCATCTCGTTGAATCAATGTCACAAAGAACTGTGAACTGTTTTCATGGCAAAGGGAGGCACTACCCAGTTCTACCATTAATTATGTTAGTGTGTCCTGAAAGGTACATAGCATACATTACTGGAAATATGGTCAGGGTCACTTTTATAAATCATGTTAAAGTAACATCTGAAGATTTAACACATGTGACACTTGTTTTCTGAGAGAAGAAACAATACTGTCGTCCTCTGGTTTGGAGAAACATGCTGTGTATCTGATGCTTAGGATGAGCACTGTGGTTTTGGAGAAAGGAATGCTGGCTCATAATGTTTGAAGAATGTTTAATGGTTTTTAATCATGAACAGAATTTAAATCTGTCCAGGGAGAAGCCGTGCCACTTTAGATTGATTAGTTATGACTGGGATACCAAGGTTAGCAACACACAGTCTGTCCATCCATACAATTATGAGTTTGTTTGAAAATGAATAGCTAAAACCTTTTCATATGATTCCCACCCCACTCTAGAGTGTTCCAACCTGTAAAATGGAGACCAAAAACGTTTAACTAATCTCTAGTTGTTTAAACATTTAGTCTAAAGACCAGACTGCAACATTAACTGGCAAAGAGACTGAGCAGGAAATCTAAATTGTCTTCTACCAGCTGAAACTTTCAGTTTGAAAATTATCTGAGAAGACTGGGAAGGAGACGAGTCAATAAAGTGCATTGACTGTGAGAAAGACTTTAATAACAAACAACTAAATAAAAGTGAAACCAATATTTAGAAATGCACAGTAGGATATGGTGAATTGACACCAAATATGTCCGCCCTGCATAAATACCTATAAAATGACAATTTACATTTCTATCAATACTGGTATATACGCTATATTTTCAACATTCAAGTTTATTTAAGTTAATTTACCAATCATATTTTACTTCCCCCCCCATAGTATTTTGACTTATTATCTTCGGTATTTATTTAGACATCTGATGTCAGATGATGACGCTACTCAAAGCTGGTTTCAGAAAATATCTTTCAGTGGTTTTTGATACAAAATGACAGTTTCAAACAATTTTACATTGTCTGGTTCTTCAGGCCCCACAGCAGCTACACACTTCACAAATGTTCCTCCTGAATGAGGTTTCAGCTTCTTAGCCACTCGCTCAGTTACAACAAAATATTCCTGCGTAACATTGTCTCTGTCAAAATGTGATCTTGTGGAAGCTGCTTGTTAGACAAACTCAGCCGATGAGCATTAAGTTTATCCAAAGCCTGTAATGTACAATTAATCCTTGGTCTGTTTCATGTCTCTCCAATATCAACAGAGTCACAGCTACTACTCCTCTTCCTCTTAGGCCGCTCTCCGTCCACTGATCCTTCATGGTACTCGTCTGTCTGGCCGGCATCAGTCCTGTGGTGTTGAGACGGTGTTTCTGGGAAGCTCTGTCCGGGCCCCAGCACCTGTCTGACGGTCACATTCACTCTGGAGCTCTGGATGTACCTGGAACACACTGCCCAGTCCTGCTCTGACATCTGCTCCAGCACAGTGCTGTCCTGCAGGGGTGAGGCCAGGCTGCAGCCTTCCATCTCTAAAGCAGTATGTCCCTGAGGTGCTGGGATGATGCGTGGGACAGCGTGGTAAAGGAGGCGGCTCTGTCCAGACATCACCATCACGTCCCCACTGTGCATGTACATAGCAGTGGGGGGGTCCTGTCTGCATGTACCTCCCAGGAGGAAGATGGCTGATTGCCCGAAACTATTAAAAAAACAAAGTTAAGAGGTGATGATATGTTTTCTGTGGTTAACCAAACAGCAGTCTGAGCTACTGGTGCAATAAAACAAATCAAATAACTGCATCAGGATTGTAAAACTCTACAAGCGAAGAATAATTCTATTCTCTCAGTGGACTTTTCTCCCCTCTCACCTGAATGACAGCAGTGGTCGACTGTGATCCAGTTCAGATTCATCCACATGGATTCCCAGACAGGAATCAGATCTGTAGTAGTTGAGGATTCCAGCCTCTGCATTAAATCCTGGAAACCCACAGGCGGCTGTTATTTGGAAGGACAGCCGGTGCAGCTCATCTGGGAAAGGAGTGTAGTAGTTGGCAGAGTAAGTCTGTGAATGGAATAATAAAATAGACCTGTGGTCCATTACACAAGCAAAGCGATGTGAAGAGATATGTTGCAACAAGTCTTTTCTTTCATTGTCTGTTTATTTGTATCTTGGTTGGTATGGATGGAAATAGCCTGAGAACAAGCAAAGTGTATCACCAACCTTAGTATCCCAGTTGTAATGATATCCCAGAGTGACCCAGCGCAGCCGCTCCAGTAGAGTCTTCGATTCTCTCTTTCCAGAGGGAGGACCGCTGTGGAGGGAATCAAACACAGAGCACACTTACAGAGACAAGCTGCTGGAAATCAGGACCGGTACACTGTCACTAAGCAAACCAATCAAAAAGCTTAAATCTAAATGAGCGAGAGTTGTGCACTGATTAAGTGTTGCACTCTCTGTCTGTGTTACAGCAGGACAAGATGTATAATGTCCTCTATTCTACACATTCATCTTTCAAATACTTCTTCCCTGTCGAAGCCTGGTGGCTGCATTACCCACAATCCAACTCAAATGCCATTTGTTATGCTACAAGCAGCTAAGGCTAATAATGGTTCTGCATGCTTCATGGRTGCACGTTGCATTGCAGCGAGGGAGGTAAGGTCAGTGGAATAAGCAGATAATGACCCTGATGATGAAGTAGCGGCAGCTGTACCACAGTGATGGATCGAAACAGGAAAGGAACAGTCAGCAATTTGGGAAATGCTTGTGTTCTTACTACACAAGAAGATCTGTGGTGAGCTGAAGCTTTAAAATAAACTGAGAGCACTGCTAAACTGGCCCTGGTCAGTCTCACCTGAGGCCATGTATGCTCTTGCCCCAGATGTCCTGTGTGTCAGATGGAGACATGTGCATGTCCAGGTTGCAGACATTGGGTTTCTGAGGATACGTCTTCAAACACTGTCGTACCCAGAAGGGTTGGGAGCCCAGCAGGAACGGGTTGGAGATGAAGATGAACCCTAAACATCATACAATATCAGAGTAATTGAACAGAATCAGGAAGTGAAACAAGCTCGATAACCTTAAACCACTGTTATTTAACTGTGTTATAGACACACCTGGCACTCACACTACTCCAGTGTTTAAGAGATGCTAAAATGATGATGTAGACACACACAACCGCTTTCTGATTTGTGGTTAAAAAATTAAAACAACTGCTTACATGAATAAGAGACAAGCTATTATTCGAGCGATCTGCTACAATCCAGAAACTAACAACCAACTGCTTCCTGTTCACACCGGCATGTGCATCACCATTGTATATGAGTGGTCAGATGATATGCTTTTTAATGCTTGTTAGTATTGATGGGGATTAAAACTAATACAGAGAGAAAATGCTGGCATAAGTTACCATGGTGATTTACCCCGATAAGATGTGAACAAGCTTTGTATGACTGGAAAACCTGAATTTATCCTGAATTTATCGCGATAAGAGCAGGTTTGGCCTCGTAGTACAGGCCCTGGTCATAGATCCCCCAACTGACAATCTTGGTTATCTTTTCCTTTCATTCCTCATCCATGTGTATTTTGCTCCATGGAAGCACTGGATTTAGTTTTAGTCTGAGAGTGTGTCACTCTCTTGGCATTTGGTTTATGTCAAGAGCCCCCTGTCTTGTGTCAGTCCATTTGTTTTTACCTGGGTAGCCATGTAGGCTGAAAGCTCTCCAGTCTCTGACGGACTGTAATCCAACCCTGGCAGCCTCCGTATCACTCACTGCAGCAAGGTCCAGTTTAGCAGAAATTACCTATAAATCAATCAGTCAATCAACCAACCACACACACACACACACACACACACACACACAAACACACACAATCCAGTTATCAATTGTTAAGTCTGTAAGTAAGTAGCTAATATAAATATATAGTAGAGCCACACTTTGCATTCCCCTCTATGAATGTTTCATTGTGTAGGTTCTACTGACATCTAGTGGTGAATTTGAATATTGTAACCAACTGAATACCTCACGCTTCACCCTCCTATAGTGGCCTTCAGGTAAAATAAAACATGAAAAGGTAATTATCAGTATTCTATTCCATTACTGTCAATCCTAAACACTAGACCTTTAAGTTTAGACTGTGTAAAATTCCCAAACAATTAAGATTAAATAGAGAGTTCTTTGAGATGCAAACATTTACAAGTGTTCTTAAATTAGGTTGCGGTATAATTCATCAAGTATTGGGGCAGATCCACAAATGTTTTACTTAATTCAACATTGAGAGATGGTGACATTTTCAACAGTTTCCCAGGGAGTAATTCCCGGACACAAACATAGGGAATTAATATCCATAAGTTTATGTAATTTAGTGCAGTTTAACTGGATTTAAGGGTGCTAGGCTCTTCTGAGTACCATTCTATTGTAATTTATTTATGAGCGCTTCATTCATACATTATTTACAACTAAATGTCAAAGACATGTTATAACTACTAAATAGTGAAATACTTTTTAAAAGGCTGTAGACAGTATTTTCTAATTAACAGAGATATATCCAAACTCCATTCAGTAAAAAACCTCTGGCTCTAATATGTCAACATAATGAAGTAAGGACGTCTGAATCTAGCTGAATCCAAAGTTCAATAGAGGATATCTGTGTGAACACAGAACGGATGTATAAGATAATTCTTTGTGTAGTACAGGGGATGTTCGCCTTCAGGTTGGTTATGAACTGGGGATGTTTCATGTGAGCCTGGCTGGGTTCTGAACTCTGATCACTTTCATCATGATGATTCCATGTTACACACACTCACAGAACTGCAGTTACGTGCAGCGACTGCGGTTATATAACACCACTGGGCATGTGTCTACGCACTTTACTGTGTACAACCTGTCGCCCAGAGTCAAACACGTGCTTCTCGTAACCTTCCGCTCACCTTGGCACTAGGTACACCTCTGGAGAAGTCGATGACGTCGCTGAAATCTGGCGGAGGGTTTCTTCTCTTGTAAAACTTGAATATTTTCCGAAATGCGTCTTCTCCACTCTCCACCATGGAGGCTGCCATCTTGGCCATGATGACGTAACTCGCCTTGCGACGCGAGTCTTCTTCGTCGGACTAAAAAAAAAAGACAAGACGCTTGAATAACGTGGTGCTGCCATCCACGTTTTGTTAATCAAGCTAAACAGTATAATAACAATAATAGTAATAATAATAAAAGGCACACCTCATGCAGCAGTGGGTGATAATATTTANGTAATAATAGTAATAATAGTAATAATAATAATAATAATACTTTTTATTTAGAGTCTGTGGTTGCGTGACGTACCAGTTTGTGTCACGTGATAACGCGTCATAGGTCAGAGCGGAACTGCAAGGACACAACATGGCGGCGCCAGCTAAGAAAGTCTTCGAGGTCTTCGTGTCTAAAATACCATGGACCGTAGCCAGCAGTGAGTACATGCAGCGGTTCCATCTGTCTTTCATATTTAATGGAAGCGTCTCTGTTCATGTGTCGTTTTGTTGTGTGCTGCTGCGGTGTGTCTTCAGCCATCAGCTCCGGCATGTGAGGGGGGGGGGTGATGTGTAATGTTCTACAATCACAGGGCCTCCTGTCGTTTGCCTTTAAAATACTGTGCACCCCGTTTCCGGTTTGTCCGCCACCCCCAGCTCAAACTGATGGCATGCAATTCAACAGTCAGTGTTCTGGTGTTGATTCAACCCCATGGTCAGTTCGTGGTGTGTGTTACACACGTGCAATGCAACTTGATGCAAAGCTGGAACAACTGTAGGTTGTGTTGTGTTACACCACATTCATGCTAGCTGGGTATGATCTCTCACACCCGGGGAACTCGGTGCATGAGCGTCGGGAAGTCAGGTACATTTGTGAAGTGAGAAGTTGAGTGAAACTGGATTTGTGTTCGACCACAAGACATGTATGTGTGCTCATTTTTCAGAGGAGATGAGAGAGTACTTTGGGCAGTTTGGCTCAGTGAAGAAGTGCCTTCTACCATTTGTAAGTTTACACAGCATTATGATGATTCATAATGGATAATAAGGAATTGTTACACTTGTGCTTGACTGTGTACTGTGTGTGTTACCAGGATAAAGATACGGGCTTCCACAGAGGCTTCTGCTGGGTTGGATTCTCGTCAGAGGAGGGACTGAACAATGCGCTTGAGAAAGACCCACATATTCTGGAGGGATCGAAGGTACAAGTAAAAGCATCATCATCACCCAGCATCGTCTTTGTTGTAGTTCAGACCTGATATTAACATCCTTTCTGAGAGATCCATTCACGTTTGGTTGCTCACACCTGACATTAGAATGTCTCATGTGACCACTTGTGATCATTTTTTTTAACTCCCCTCTCTAAATGGTACATGATTTCTGTTTGTGAAACATAAGTTTTAAACTTTGTTGTTTTGACACTCTGAGTTTACACGGAGAGAGAGAGAGAGACAGGTTATTGGTTTAAAGCCCTCACAAATGGTAAAAAATAAATGAATATATCTCAGCCAAAGATATGTTATATGTCCATGCTCATTTGAAAATAGGGAAAGGAAATGTTGTATTGAAATGGAAAAAATAAAAAAGCAATCAAATATATGAAAAAGTCTATGTTTTTAGAAATCATACCAAACATAATTGAGTGACAATAGGACATGAGGCCCAACCTTAAATTATTGATGTTCTGTATGCTCTATATCCTAATAGTTTTGTTCTGTCGTTTGTTTTCAGCTCCAGGTCCAGAGGAACAGACGACCATTTGTAGGCCAAAAATCAAACAGAGCCAGTGAAGTTGACTGAAGCTCTCCGGTGTGTTACTGTGTCAAAGAGACGAAGACGTGCTATTGTTTTTGTATTCAGGCACTAAGGGAAGACTTAAAGCAGTGCACCAGCATTGTTGTGTTCATTTTCCATTTCAAAGTCTCTGTATTACAGTTTGGCCGTAGCTTTATTGTCATTGTTTTAATAGGTTTTCCCTTTATTTATTCTCAGTCATGGCATTGTCAACGGTCGCTGGTTGGTGGTAGCTGCTGAGGTCATACATCATTCCACTGTCTGACAATAAAAAAGTGTTATACTCCATTACGTGTTTTTTGTTATTCGTTTGTATTTGTAATTCAGTATTTTATCTTATCTGAGTATTTCCTTTAAAACTGCTCATGGATTTGCATTGTGTGGCCTGAACAGGTGACAGTCCCTGGTGGATCAAATCATCCTGTCCGTCTCAGCAGTTTACGTCCTCCCTTGGTAATTGGGACTTTTAAGAAATGTGTCTGGCTTTTACTGACATGAGGAAAATTCTTACTAAAAATGAACAAATACAATTATTCCTATTTACTCCTCAGTTAGCGTTTTAGTTTCATGCTGCTGCTGAAAAGAAGAATACAAAGAAAAATCACTATCTTCCTAATATGTGGTCACTGATTATCAGAAACATGTACCGGTCTCCTGTCTTCTTTTCCTCTCTGACTCGTGATGCCTCTTCAAAAGTTTGAGCATAGGATAAAGAAAGGCAGATAGGTGAAAATTGTATGTGTGTTTTTCATTTAATGTTCCAATGCTATTCATGTTTTAAACGTATTTACTTATGCAATTTATTTTCTTGGTATTTTTTCAAAATCACCTTAAAAAAGTATTCCTATCTATTTGAAGCGTCGACCGTAAATACAGTCTCGTTTTACGAACAATAATGACACAATAATCATTCACACATACACATTATGTATATACAGTCTGTGAACAGCTGATCGCCGTGTGGCGCGTGTTAAACACGTCATCGTCGTCGCCCGCTCTGTAGTTTTGACTCTGATCAACGGCGGCAATGAAAGAACACGTCTTCGCTGCGACAACTAAACCTCGACCTCAGTGATGGACATCCTGGAGGCTGTCTCCACGTGTATCGCCGTGTTGTGCGGGTGAGGTGGTTCACGTTCACACGGCGACCTTCGTCCCCCCCCACCCCGTGGCACTACGTTGCCCAGAATCCTTCGCGTCCACGTCGAAAACCGACGAAGAGGTCAAAACAGAACCGGCGAGTGAACGACAGGCAGCGCGTGTGCTGGAGACACTGGTGAGTGAGCTTCCTGTCGGTGTGGAGACGTGTGACCGTGTGTCCTGGGACGTTGTGTCTGTCATTACTAAATCTACGTGTTGTCAAACGAGCTTCAGCGTGAGACTGAAACCTGGAAGCAGCTCTCCAGCGACCTGCTCCAGCGACCTGCTCCTCCCTCAGGCTCCCTCAGTCCTGCAGGGTCGCAGTTGTCACATAAGAGAGGAGACAGGAGAAGCGACTCTGGGTCTGGGATCCACAGTTGGGCCGTTTTGGGAGAACTGTCGACTTGAAACGTGGCTTTGGTGATGTCCACACTGTGTTATTGTGTAATATGAGCACATTACACGTGCATCTGCCCCAACAGAACCTTTCCCAGCAGCCTGTTCGACAGGGAACAGCAGGTATACACAGGTGGTGCAGACCACGTGAAACAAAGATGTAGCTCAATAGAACAGAGTCCAGTAACACCAGTAACACCAGTGTTTACCTCCTGTTTCACCTCAACGTGGCTGCTCTGTGAACAAACTACTGCCGGGTTTAATAACATGTTCACCTTGTTTAAAGGGACGTTCCTTCAAAGGGTCGTGGTGCGTCAGTGATGGCAGCTCCTCAGTTTGGGTTTGGAGACTGGTAGATGCCAGTGAGGAATTATGGGAAACTATGTAATCGCTGTAAAATAAAGTTAGGGTATTTGTTTCATCACTGCATTAATTTATTTCTCATCGTGAAATATAGCCTGTGGTCGACTTCAGTTGTCATAAAAACTCAAAAGATCTTTAGTTTGTCCAGTTTGGGCTAGTGTGAAAAAGCATGCCGGCCTCCGTAGAGAGGACCTGCTCCTGATGCACATATAAAGTATTTAGATATAAAGGGTTCATTCTAGGGTAAAGAAAGCAACAATTCATACAATTTAGATGAAAACACACTAGAAAAAAAACATCACTGCGATTATTTAACATTCAGTATCTGCCAATAGATCCCTTTCAACTAAATCTTACACACTGAACCTTTAGGAATCATTAAATTACACAGGATGAGAGCGTATCTAAACACAAACAGGAAGCTTTTCAGCCTCTTAATGTTTTCAGCAGTATTACAGATGTGCTGTTATCACGGACAGTAACAGAATCATTGTTGCAGGATCACAGTGTGCACATAGAGTAACTTGTCGTAGCATAGCATCAGACCCCGCACATGATGTTTTCCACAAACCTAAATGCAAAATCTCCATGTGCAGCCTGTGCTTCCCATATATGAGAGTTAACAATAGCTGTACCAGTTAATAATACTAATTCTAATAATACATTGTTTAAGGTGCATGTGGGAAAATACATTTTATTAAACTATAATTAGACAGTCAACTACAATAGCTACCTAGCAGTGTAGATGGATAACCACACTGTTCCTTTTTTAACATTTGAAAACTGTAAACTAAATCATTTGATTTATCTTGATTGGCACTTTCACTTTGGAACTTCGGTATGAACACCAAGACTGGACTGATGTCTCTGTTCACGCGGCCTTACAGATATAGTAGCTGCGACATGCAGATGTTTCATTGTGAAATATGTCATGGTATTAGTGACAGCAATCTAGTCGATTCCCTTCAAGATGCATCCATGAATCCCCGTAGTTACAGATCTGGGAAATGAGGCTCTGCCATCACTAGATTTCTATCCACTTGTATTCAAACAATAAACAGTAAGTATGTCTCTCTATTTTGAACAGTATGTCTGGAACCTCCAACTGTATGTTGGATTCTTAGTCAAAGAGTGTCAAGAGCTGTGTGCAACAGTGTTCACTGTTGCTGGTTGACACTCAAACCAGCATGATGCATGAGTTCCACATCCATCCTGTGTATTTTCATGTTGACGTTACAAGGAACATTAGGAGGAGATGATTCACTTTCATTTAGTAGAGGAATTTGTTATTAAAACAATTTAGAGCTTGAAAGCTTGACCACCACAGTAGGGGAAATAGTCATGTTTTCTGTGCATGAAACATTGCATAATAAACTCTTAAACACTTTGTTAACTTGCAGTCTCTTGTTGTTTTCCCTGCAGTGCCTCAGATGGCTGGTCGACTCCTCAAAGTCTCCTCTCTGGCTACTGTGGCATTTGCCTCGTCTGGGTTTTATCTGTACAGCCGACAGCTGGACCTCAATGACCTGAGTATCATCCGCTTCGGACGAGCCGCTGCCACTGTGAGTTACTTCATAACCTCTGCCCCAACAGTCTTGATTTGGAGATTGTGGATTTGATGCACCTTTACAGTTTAGATGCTTAATGTTTTTTGCCTTGATGCTTGATATGAATTTCCCCACCGTGGGACCTGTATCATGAAGCAGGAGTAGTGGATTCGTTTTAAGATCACCATGGTAATCTGCACTGCATAACTGACCTGCTCAGGATCATGTTAATTTCAGAGGATCAGATTAAAACCTGTCAACAGCCTGACCATCAGGTCAGAACACAAATACTTCAGGATCCTCCTGTCAGAGACAAAGGATCCAAAAATCAAACAAAACACAGCAATTTCAATACTTGAACGTTTTTGGTCTTCCACACTTGGATCTGGTTGATTAAAATGTTGGTCCATTGAAATTGCAATATAGTGTAGCACCTGGGAACAACCTATGTGACGACACAACTCTGCCCTGATTGGCTGAAGGCCTCACTGACACTTGTCATACATGTTTCTTCTTAGAAGGTCATATCCACTAAACAGGCGGCTGTGACTGAGGGGGTAAAGTGGCCATCCTCTAACCAGAAGGTCAGCGATTTGATCCCAGTCTTCCCCATCGGCATGCCAAATTGTCCTTGGGCAAGATACTGAACCCCAAATTGCCCCTCATAGAACAGGTGCCCATAGATCCACTGTACATGGACATATACTGAATTATTTTCATGTAGAAAGAAAGAAACTTAGTTTTTTTATGAAAGTAAATGTTCATTAATAGCCTATTTATAAAAAAATTGACCTAGGATGAACTGAGGCCAGAGGTTAAAGGTCAAGGTCCCGGTGACCTCCCTGAACCAATTTTCAACCATTTCTCATGAGTCCATATGCTATACATGGCTTCACTTCCCAAAAATGTTTGATAGGATGAAATGATGAGGTAATGCAATTTTAATCCAAAAGGTGAAAGGTCAGCTTCTCTGTGACATCTCAGGATACACTTCACCTTGTCATGTTGGCGGCGAACAATCAGCTGATCTGATTCTAACACTTCATTGTAGCGTTTTGTTTAATATTTAGATTTTTTAATGTTGACTGTTTCTAGCTCCTTGCTCTGTTTTACATTTAGGAGTTAAACCTCACTGTGGCCTCCTCCAACAGTCCAATGACATACAGGTTAATTGGTGAATCCAATATTACACGTGGTGTGACTGGTTGTTTGTCTTCATGTCAGCACTGTCTTAAGCCTGGCGACCTATCCGTGGTGTACCCCGCCTCTCGCCTAATGTCGCCTGGGATTGGCTCCAGCCCCCCTGCAATTTCCAATGGATGGGTTGGATGTTTAACCTTGCAATAAATCATTTTCCGATGCCACTGTAATCTAATAAGGGAAGTTCTGCTTGAAGTGGAGAGATCAACATAGTATTGACCTTTCCAAGTAGAAGTATGGTGGCAGGAAGTATTAATTGTCTCACTTCATCATGGCAAAAATCATGTGGCTGCCCTAATCCAGGCCTTGTTCATTACTCTTTGTGTTTGTCTTAAATATGGAGCTCATATATCAATCTGCCTTAGTATATGTTTTCAATTCTTCAGTTTAAGCTTCATTCAATAGAATAACCATATTGAAAGCAGTAAGACCAGTTTAAGTGTAGCTGTTTCACCATGGTCTCTTATTTTACGTTGATTCCAAATATCCAGGTTTTTACCACAAGCTGCACACGATGTGCTGAAAACTGGAATATGTGATCTCCGCAGCAGAATTAATACGTTCCGTCCTGCCTCTGCCTGCTGTACCACACCTCACAGTAACTCAGTGCTACAGAAAGCTTTGTTTTCCCTTACCAGCGTCGTGATACCAGTTATTCAGAAACACAAGTGATGGGCCAACTGAAGCAAGTATCAATAGAGAGCTAGTCTAAATAGAATTTACTTCATGATAGAGACTCTGGGTGTGATAGATGTCTTTCATAATCTTCTTATTATACATAACTGCTCACCATTTTCCAGAAGCTTACTGCATTGTGTGTGTGACTTTTAAATGTTTTTACAATTCTCACTGGAATTAGCTTACAGTTGAAACTAGCTTCATACAGGTGACTGGATATCTTGGTGCACAACACTGTAACACGGCCCCCGATTCTCTACACTGCCACTCAGCCCTTTTGGAACTCACCCCATCCGTATCCTAACCATACAGCTGATCATTTCTGTATCATTCCACATTGAGACTTACAGTGTATTTGCTTTTTCACATTTTATGATGTTCTCTACGTCTTGTGGTTTTTTGCAGACGGTGGTTATCAGCTACGACTACCTGACTGCTTTCAAACATGTGGAACACGGCACAGATGAATACTGGGCGCTCAAGTCCAAGGTAGATAATCACTTACTATGTTTTTTTCATAGTGAACTAAATCAAAGCAGAGATTCAGATGCAACCATTATTGGCGTGATTCACACAGCACTACAAGGTGAAAGGAGTCGTTTACCCTGACATTGACTTCAAATTCACTAAACAGGATCATATTTGAACGAGAAATCCCTCTCGTAGGGGAAAAGGTAATAACAGTAAATGCCAGTTGATGTACATTGAGTGATTTGTGCTGGTGTTTGTTTAAAGGCCACAGCTCAGTCAGGTTCACTCTGGAGACCGCTACTGCAAAGGTCAGAGACCACCTGCTCTGACAAAAAGTGCTCCTGCTGCAGCGAACCTTGAAGAGCATGGTTCAGCTTGGCTGGCCCTGTGTGTGCGCATGTGTGTGTGTGTGTGAGGCACACACAGACACCCTGTTCAGCCCCCCGGGCCCCACTGGTCAAGCCTGGCTACACATGCTGATTAGAATTAATGCATGCTGCTGATTTAATACAGAGAGGAGGCATGCCACCTAATTATTATGAAGTCATAGAGGTGAGGCGACAGTACAGTGACTCCACACGTGTTTAGCTTCTTTATGCTGCTGATTTTTCCTGCAGCATGATTTTTCTGTCTGTAAAGAGAAACAACAGATCACTGACAGGGACAAACCGTTTACTGAAATGATTAAAGCTAAATCTAGACTTGATTACAGGTATTGATTCATTATGAAATGACAAAATAAGAGCAGATGTCCATCACATCTTACCTGTATGACTGACACTTCCATCCCTTTAATCATCATTTGCGATGTGAACGTACACAATTTCCACACAGTCTAGGTAGGTGAAATTGTGGGCCCTGGTCATCGTTAGGAAATACTCCTAACATAGCGTGAAGCTGCTCTCCTGGCTGACTGCTACCATTGCAAACGGAAGTAGTGGCCGAATGGAATGCAGTCTGGTTGAGAGGACTTGGCTCTGGGATTCACCTGTATCGTGTTAGAAGTTTGCTTCACTGTGAGCGACGGACCTGTTGTGGGATGCTGCATGCAGAGTGGATGATTGTGAACAAACGCAAAATGTAAATATTTGGGCTGGCTGAAATATTAATCAATATTTTGCTGTTTCTATTTGTACATGTTAAATACAAAGGATCTGATGTGTGGGTGTTATGGCACTTTTTTTGTTGTTGTAACTAATCACTGCTGAACCCTCCAGTGCAGACACACTATTTGTAACAATTTAGAGATCTGGGGTGAGTCTTCATGTGTAAAATAACCACCTCTATGCCACAAACAGAACCTTGATGAGGGTAGGATTTATTTCACGGCTGTTGAATTATATTAAATTATACTAGATTGTGACTGCAGGCTTTAAAATGGCATAATATAAAAAGCCTTTGTGTCAAATGAAGTCATCGTGTCAGTGCCCTTCAACCTCCAGCTGTGTGTTTGTTTCTTGTCCTAAGGGACACATATGACTGCACAGTTAATGAGCTCTTGTTTCCGCATCTCACCGTCCTTGTTTTTTGCGTGTGTCACCCCGTGTTCGTCTCGTAGCGGCGCAGCCAAGCTGCTTTCAGACTCTCATGAAAAGCTTCACTCAAAGGCCACTTAGGCAGCCACTCTTCCAGGCTCATCAAAGGCTGCCCAGAGTGAACTGAGGGGCCATTCACAGCCAATTAGAGTGTATCGCAGAACAAGCACGGGAGAACTCTGAAGTCTGCCAAATGAGCAGAGGAACATGACCTGCAATGAGAGAACAGATGGACATTTTTTTTGTCCCCCTCAGAAACACACTGTGGCTGCACAATACACCAAAACCCCTATGTAATGAGTGCAAGAGCAAACACTTGAGTCGACTAAGAATGAGCCGATCTGATGTATGTTTGACAGTTTTCTATTTTAAAAGCTTATGCATTCGGGTTTTCCTCTATGTTTTTACTCCGCTCTGGTAGCCTGGATGTTAGCCTGTGTCTTTGGGAAATGTTCATATTTTAAGTCAAAATAATTGAGAATGATGAAGTGTATTGGTTACGCAAGAGTTCCTCTTCCAGCAGCAGTTACAAAACGTCCCATTCATTGAAGCAGGAGCACTCTGTCATGTGCTTACTTACACCAGCAGCTGTCATCTTTTCTTGTTGATCCGGTGATGTAGTGGCTGTCTGCTGTTTTCTCATCTGTAAACTCTGGCTCAAACTGATCTGGTACAACAGATATTATTAAGAAAAGTGTAATTGTCATCTTGTCTTCATCGTGATTCAGTGTCAGCATTTCCTTGTGTACTTTACACTGTTCTTTCTTTGCTGATTACTTTTTATTTTACTGACTTGTGTGCAGGCCGTCATTGGTGTGGTCTAGCAGTGACTGGTATATTTGGTATATGTGCTGCTACTGCCAGAGCTGTTTTACACAGGGTTTATACTGACAATTACCATTAATGAGTAAATGTGAGTGTGAGAGAGAGAGAGCTTACTGCTCATCACATTAACTTTTAAAATAACTACAGCCTTTGTGGGGTTTCTGGTGTAACTACAGTATTCCCCTGTTTGAAATTAGTCCATTACTCAAATAAATGCCAGTGATATAAAGTATGAAGCTGTGCATCTTCCTCTTCTGCAAATATTTCACAATAAAAACCAACATAAATGGATACATTTAGTCAACAGAAATGCTAGAGTGTTTTTATTTTGAAAAGGTTATCATACAGGAAGTGTTAGGGTGAGAGAAGAGCACCTCAGAACAGCAGTGGGTCAGCTCCAGGTGTGAGTGTTTAAATACGAGCGGTATATATTTCCTGTGTGTGCAACGCTTTGCTTCCGCTTCACGCAGGTGAGCCTGCAGTGCCTCCATGTAGACATGCATTTGTTTCTCTCTCATTGCAGCAGCTGTCACATGATCCAAATTATATATAGCCTACATGCATGAATACAAACAAACAAGAAAACACTTAACAGATAAGCTACTATTTTATTGAAATAATGAGAATAAGTCTGGCATTTCATGGTGATGGAGCTCAAAGCCAGGATTAGCCTGCGCACTACAGGTTTCCTCATCAACTAATTAAACCCTCTGCTATAAATTCATCACCCTCATTTTTCGAACCCACTTTTTGTGACAGAATTCGGGTGCTACTGACTCTCTATTTTTTTTTTTTTTTACAAAATGTATCGAATAAGTATCAGCATCGGAATTCACAACTTGGTATCGGTATTGAAACCAAAATGTTGGTATCATGACAACAAGTTTGGTTTTGTCATCATCCAAAGCTGTTGACTTACAATGAAGCACTGGCTTCATGTGAGACACTCACACTGGCTCCTATGATCAATTGTGATGTGATCTCACTTGCCCGTGTTATATGCAAATAATCATAATTTCTGTTCCTAAAGACCAAATGTTTTATATTTTATATGGGTGTCGATATTGTGGCGGTGACTTCAAACAAATCAATATGGTCACAGAGGAGTGTAAAAATATCTAGTGGACCAGGTATTCAGCTGAGTAGGTGGTACTTCATATATGGCCCAGTTATGGATATGTGTTTACACAGCGAAACAAATGTAGCCACATGCATACCAGACCAGTGTTGTGCCAGTTTACACTTAAAAATAACTAGTTAAAGTCCAGTTAAACAGGATGACAATGAACTAGTTCATGTTCATTTGTTCTCATTTTGGTGGGATGGTTATGATTTAGATTAAAATGTGACGATCATGTATTTAGTTATTAATCAACAGTGTGGGATCATGAATCCAGATTATTCTGGTCACTTTAACTCTGAGTCCTGTTGTTCATGTCACATCTTGTGTTGTACTGAGCACAAAATGTTGACTTTTAAATGTAGCCTCATAAACTCGGGAGCGGATCAAACAAACGCTTAGTGAACTTCATCTACTGATCAGGTCCTAATGGCTAGTGAAGAATATTTTTTAGTTAAAGTGAGTGCAGGGCAGCAGGAGAGTGGAGGAGGCCACAGGGAACTCTAGCATGGTACAAAATAACCTTCTGATCACTGTGCTGCTATGGCCTGTGGTGGATTCTCTGTATTTTCACTATTGTTGCCACTGTTCTTCAACAAGGTAACTTACTGGCTTGTTTATGTTAATGAGCTCTGCTCCTCTTATCTCACTTTGTGTGTCGTTGTGTGACTGAGTTGGGGTGGGTCCCCGGGGCCTGTGTGTGTGCTCCCAGTCTGAGGAGTCTGGGAGCACACACATTTATGCTCGCTCCTGGTATTTCATGAAGGCCTGGTGGCGTAAAACACTTTCACATTCATCATTTGTCAACTGATTTGTTCAGTTCAGCATTCACAAAAAAAATATGAATGTGTTCATTGAACGCTGGTCATGCTCAACACTTTACCAGACCTCCTCTGAATGTGGTTTGAGTGGTGAGATATCAGGATGCTTTGTGTACATATTTGGTGCATTTAGACCTATACGCTGACCCCTTGTGATTGGATGACAAACGCCTTGTCCTGTTTCCACTCATGTTGAGTCCAGAATCATATTGTGTTGTTGACTCATTGAAACATTTTTGCTGAGGGATTTTGAGCTCTGCTTAAGCTTTACTTTTCGTTCTGGCTGAATGAGATTACTGACAACTTTCTTGCAGATAGATGTTCTGAAACCAACATAATTGTTGGTACTTCTTCTAATAAAAAAGAACAATTGATTTAGTTAGAAAGAAGATTAATTAATAAAACTGAACATTTTCAAATTTATTTATATTTTAATATGCACCCTAACCCTAACCCTGTTTTACTGGAAATAGTGATTATTCTACGTTACTATATATTTCCATGTACAAAAACAATTTAATACTTTAATCTCATTGTTTTTTTCTGTAAAGCACTATGATGGGAAGCTGGTGTAAGCCATGGAGGGTGAGAGTGCATGAACCTGGTATGGAACTCTCAAGGACATAAAGCTAACACACCCACAATAAGGGCAGGACGTTTTAACTGGTTAACACTACATCTGGCATTTTATTGTATTAGGGATTTTTACACACTAGT